ATCCAAGAGTGAGCAAGGATTAAATACTATATGCCAGCAAAAATCAACACATATAAAGGCTAGAAGTCTGGCTCACAAAATGGAAGAGCTAGACCTTCTGATTCTTGAGAAGGATTTTGACTTTCTGAGAGAATCAGAAGCCCAGTTAGACAGCTCACATGACTGGGTTACAAATATCCAAGCCTACAATCTGTTAGGGAGGGACAGGGTAGGTAGAAGTAGGGGAGGGGTGTGCCTGTATGTCAAGAATAGAAAATTGGACTGAAAATTGGTTACAGGTGCATGTCCAAAAGGTGGTGATTAACAGTGCAGCTTCTAAATGGTTTGGTGTTGTAAAAATAATCTCAATATTTGCAGACGATATTAAGCTAAGCAGGGCTAAAACTTAAGGATATTAAACCTTTACAAGAAGACCTAAATAAAATAGAAAGGTGGGCAATTAAATAGTAACTTAGGTTTGATGTAGGTAAATATAAAGTAATGCACTTGGGGGCTAAAAATATAAATGCAAGCTAGGGGGAGAACCCCTGGGGGAATCAAGAATGGAAAAGGACCTAGGGGCCCTAGATGATTACAGGCTCAGTAATAGCATGCAGTGCCAAGCTGCAGCAAGCAAGGCAAGCAGAGAATATTATTAGACATGTGCAATTCGTTTTGTGACAAAATAAAAAAAAGGAATTTTAGACAAAATTTTCGTTATTCGGAGATTTGGATGTATCTGAATTTCCGAATCACAAAAGTAACGAATTTCAACAAATTTGAAATAATTACAATGAAACAAATTATCCGAATTCAAAAATTATTTCAAATTCGAAGTAGAAACATATTGCAATAAATACAGTAAGGTATAAAAGTAAAATAATATATTGATTCCTACTTAGGCTGTTTTATAGAATAGAATAGAATACGATATAAAAGAACAGAACAAAACATAATAGAAAAGAATAAAACAGAAAAGAATGATTTAGAATGTAAAATAAAAGAATATAATAGAATTGAATATAATATAATAAAATACAATAGAATAGAATAAAACAGAATAGATTAGAAAACAAATGGAAAAGAATAGAGTAGAATAGAAAAGATTAGAATGGAAAATAAAAAAACAAATTATCTGAATTCAAATTCGAAAATGAATTTGAAATGCAAACATATTGCAAATAAATATAATAAAGTATAAAAGTGAAAAAAGATGATGAATCCTACTTAGGCTGCTTTATAGAATAGAATAAAATAAAAAAATAGAATAAAGCAGAATAGAACATAAAATAATAGAATAGAATAAAGCAGAATAGAATTTAAAAAAAATACAGAATAGGTTGATATAAAATGGAAAATAATAGAATAAATTTGAACAGAATAGAATAGGGAGTGACATCACTGTATATTATTCACACCAGTTGTGAGTCTTCTGGTCACTGCACTGTTTCAGGTATATTTTATGTAATTTTCACTGTGTTTATGTGTAATTTATGTCACTTTTTTCCCTGTTAAAGGGGATGCATGTACATTGTCTCACCATTTTCTCCAGTGTGTGATGTTTATTTCTCATTTACACATTTATATATTTTTTTGCATATTATCACATGATAATGCCCTTTTTGATGTGTATATTTCTTTTTGTTAAAATGTATTTGAGATTTATATTTATGCACTAATTATGGTATATAAGTGTATTTAGGCACTGTGTATGGAAGCGCAACACCATTTTCTTTTTTATATTTTTAGGTTAAGATGGAAGCACTAATGACCAGGGGGGGGTTCTGCACTGGTGGGATCTGTTTGTAGGTAAGTCTCTCATAATGTACTAGTATGTGGTGCATATTAGTACATTATGTCCTAAACCTGCAGGGGGGCACTTTTTTATTTTCTTAAGGAGACTTTTCTACAGCTTTAAGAGGAGATATGATCGCAATATATAAATATCGAAATGGAACATTTATACATAGGGAGAAAACTATTCAGTCCAAGCCAATTTTCAGGTTTCAGCGCTCTCACACTTTGAATGACAATTGCGCGGTCATACAACACTGTACCCAAACTAAAATTTTATAATTTTGTTCACACAACTAGAGCTTTCTTTTGGTAGTATTTAATCACCACTGGGGTTTTTCTTTTTTGCTAAATTAACAAAAAAAGATTTTGAAAAAAAAAAAAAACACGTTTCTTTGTTTCTGTTATAAAAATTTGCAAATAAATAATTGTTCTTTATAAATTTAGGCCAAAATGTATTCTGCTACATGTCTTTGGTGAAAATAACCCAAATCAGTGTTTATTATTTAGTCTGTAGGAAAGTTATAGAGTTCACAAACTATGGGATATATCTGAAAATTGATCAATCCTGAAGTACTGACAGCCAATCTAATTTCTTGAGGCCCAAAAATGTCAGGTCAGTACAGATATCCCCCAAATGACCCCTTTTTGCAAAGTAGACAGTCCAACGTATTTCATAAGAGGCATGGCGAGTTTTTTGAAGTTGTAATTTTTTTGTCATAATTTTTCGGAAAATGAAGAAATTCAAAAAAATATTTTCACAATTATTTTTTTTACATACTGTCACCAGTGCAGTACAGCATCATATAACTGGTGTGGCGGTGATCAGGGACATTGACTGGTCTGAGGTACACAGCCGGTGACAGATCTCGCCACAGCGCGGCCCTGCAGGCACACGAAAAGCATAATCCGTGAAGGACATTATGTGATGCCCACCCAGAGGGATGAGAGGTTTGCCTGGCCGTCATTTAACTATAGGCCGGGCGGGAAGTGGTTAAGAGGTCACATGGTCACTCAATGAGGTTGGACGAGAAGCGGTTTAACCTGAAACTGCATAGGGGATGCTGAACTGTTCGAACGGTAAGGATGTGGAACTCCCTCCCACAATCAGTGGTGTCAGCGGAAAGGGTTGACAATTTAAAAAAAATTTTAGATAGGCATCTTAGTGTACCCAATATACAAGGATATAAGAAGTGTTAGAGACACAAATGCATACAAACACCCACACAGGTTAACCTGGATAGACTAATGACTTTATTCAACCTTACCAATCATGTAAGAACAATCTGTGCATGTGAGATATATCATCACCAATGAGACTGGTGATAGTGTGAAGTCCTTATGGCTGGAGCTTCAAAGGAACAAACCAACTGTAAACTAATGGTGGATGCATGCTATAGTCCACCTAACCTCAGAGCCGAAACAATCTCCTTTCACATTGACTTGGCGGGGGATCCCAAACGTAATGACTGATTGCCACAGATTTCTATGGCAGTCTGTCCTTCTGTAATTTAATGTCTGTCTTGTGGGATCCCCAGAATATCATGGTTCATCATTAGATGAATGCTTCAGGCATTTGGTAATTTATATCTTGAGTTCTGGGGATACCTTTAACTGTGAATGAATAGTCAGCACCTATTATGAGTAACATTTTTACCTATTAGGGCAGACTGGATTTTTGTTGTATTCTATATTTTCTATGTACAATGGTAGTTGGTGAGGTCCTGGCTCATCCTTGTGGCGTATTGTCAAATGGAATAACTCCCTCTGCTGACTTCGTATATAGCTATAAGTCCTCATGCACACTGGACATTTTTACAGCGGCTGTTTTTGGCTTTTGACGTTTTTTCTACAGTCAGTAAACTCCCCAACATGTTATCCTATGTGTCCATGCACACATAGACTGTAATCAGCGTATTTTGGCAGGGACGTTTTTTGGCTGAAAAAAAAAAAACAGGACTAGTGGGTTTCTGGAGGAGTTTTTTAGCTGGAAAAATGCTCTAACACTGAAAAACGCGGTAAAACGCTGCATTTTTGGACTTTTTTTACAAAAAAAAATGATAAAAAATGCAAACGCGGAAAAAAACGCAGTTAAATGCAAAAACGCTAAAAAAAACTCACGTTTTTAACGTGACTTTACACAGCTAACGTTACCAGCGTTATCAAAACGCCCTGTGTGCATGGAGCCAAAATCTGTGTACCTTCTGCTCCTGAAGAAGCGGAATAAAAACGCAAAACATGTCGATCTCTATGTGTATGGATAGCGGCATCCTCTGTTATGCATACTAACCAGCTAATAACAACTATTATATGCATGTGATTTTTCTCTATAGTGTGTGTGACCACCACCCTGATCGACACAAGTGCTACTTTGAGTTGCATTTTAATTACATTTTAATGTTGTTTTAACATGTGCAGAAATAAAGATTGTAATTTTTGATGTAAACATTGTGATGTGGTGCCCATAAAGTCTATGGACTGTGGTCCAATATGTTTCTTTTCTTTGCCTGTATAAATAGCCTCTCCTTTCACAGTCAGAAATGGAAGGGGAGCAGGGCTATGTTAATATTATGGGAGGCTTCAACTAACCTGATATTAATTGGGCAGACAGAACTGCACTCTCAACTAGGCTTCGTCATTTCTTGAATGTATTAAAAGACAATTTCTTGGGTCAAAAGCCCCAACTGGGAAAAATGATCTGTTGCATCCACTATTTCATTCAACACATAGCTGCCTGCAGATGTGGAAGTTAGGGATAATTTAGGTAATGGTGGTGACACTGTAATTACATTTTCTGTAAATTACAGGAAGGAGCTCTTGCAACAAAGGATACTGAAGACAAGTGGGAGTGTGTTAAGGACATATTAACCACTTCCCGTCCGTTCTATAGCAGAAATACTGCTACAGGGAGGGCACGGGTGTGCAAAAACAAGTATATATATGTGTGATTTAGCATTTCTGGGTTGGTGGCGCGTGCGAGGTACGCACACACCCTACTCGCGCCGCCTTCCGCGGCGGTAGCTGTCAATCATCGGAGCACGGCCAGTGATTACTCGCCGGCGCCCAGTGATTTCCGAGGATCTCCGACAGGGAGGAGAACTGTATGCAAACAAAACAGTTCTGCTCCCTGTCAGCTCATGCACACTGCTTTGGATGGCTGTGCACAGACACAGCTCCCTAGTAAAACACACCCAGCACACAGTTAACCCTTTGATCGGCCCTCATATTAACCCCTTCCTGCCCAGTGCCATTAGCACAGTGTCAGTGCTTTTCTTTAGCACTGATCAGTGTAGTGGTGTCACTGGGGATGTCAGTGACACCAAGTCAGTTCCCCCCAATGTCAGAATGTCCGCCGCAGTCCCGCTATAAGTCGCTGGTCGCCGCCATTACTAGTAAAAATAAAAAAAAATCCCAGTATCTATTTGTAAATGCTATAACTTTCATGTAAACCAATTAATTTACATGTATTGGGATTTTTTTAAGCAAAGACATGTAGCAGAACACATTTTGGCCTAAATTTATTACGAAATTAGATTTTTAAATTTTTTTTACTGGACATGTTTAATAGCAAAAAGTCAGAAATATTGTTTCAATGAATCCAAGCGTGGTACCGTGATAGGTTACCACCTGTGCAATAAGCCCATGCATGCAATTTCCTTGCTACTAAATATTCCACAGTCAACTGTTAGTGGTATTATAACAAAGTGGAGGCAACTGGGAGCAACAGCAACTCAGCCACAAAGTGATTAAAGGTAAAATGACAGAGCGGGGTCAGCGCATGCTGCAGTGCACAGTGCGCAGAAGTCGCCAACTGTCTGCAGAGTCAATAGCTAAAGACCTCCATGGGACAAACGCGGTGCCTGACCTTTGCACTTCTCACCAGCTACTGAGAAAGGATCAGATCCATGATTGTGATATATTGGGCAGCTGTCAGCCTATCCAACAGTTCATCAATCCGGGGCATGGGGTATGCATCTGCAGTGGTGATGGCGTTCAACTTCTGGTAGTCCACACAGAACCTGGTTGTCTGATCCTTTTTTGGGGACCAGGACTACTGGGGATGCCCAGGCACTGTGGGACTTCTAAATCACCCCCGGCTGCAGCATTTCCTCAACCTCCCTTTTCATATCAGCCAGCACCTCCAGAGAGGCCGATTGTTTAACAGCCTCCAGCCCGCTATACTGTATATGGAAATGACGGACGGGCGGTGGTTCTCTCGTTCTGGGAGGACGTCATATGGCGTCCTCCCACTCTAACCGCGCAGACACAGATCATCATCAATCGTAAAGAGCCGTTGGCTGCAGTTCTTTACCACATGACAGGCTGTGTGTAATCAAAGCCTGTCACAAATGTAAACACAGAGTGGTAATTCACTGTTACCAGCTTCCTCTCCACGCACACAGATCTTGTGTGAGGAGAGGAATCTTCTAACAGTGAGTTACCGTTTTTACAGTGCATACACACATTACAGCCCCTGTCACAGTGCCCATCAGTGTACCTGTCGCCCATCAGTGTACCTGTTGCCCATTAGTGTGCCTGTCACCCATCAGTGCCCATCAGTGTAACTGTTGCCGATCAGTGCCCATCAGTGTACCTGTCGCCCATCAGCAGTGCACCTGTCGCCCATCAGTGCCAATCAGTGTACCCGTCGCCCATCAATACATCTGTCGCCCATCAGTGCCCATCAGCAGTGCCCCTGTAACCCATCAGTGTACCTGTCACCCATCAGTGCCAATCAGTGTACCCATTGCCCATCAGTACATCTGTCACCCATCGGCAGTGCACCTGTCGCCCATCAGTGTACCCAACGCCTATCAGTGTACCTGTCGCCTGACCAGCAGTGCACCTGTTGCCCATCAGTGTACCGTTTCCAATTAGTGCTTATCAGCAGTGCATCTGTCGCCCATCACACCTGTTTAACATATCTGTGGGGGCCGCATTTTGTGCAGGCATGAGAGCCCATTCATTTGAATGGACTCCCGTGCCCCGGGACACGCAGGGAAGAAGTCCCTGCACTTCTTTGGAAACTGCAGCCCGCACGGGAACCCAGTATGGTTGCGATTCCAGTATGGGCGGCATGTCATTAGAATTAATTGCACCCGCCCACGGGTCCCGCATTGCCCTGTGCGGGTGGTGCAGATGTAGGTATTTTTGTGCGGGTCCCGCAGCCGCACCACCCGTACATATGTGAACCTAGCCTCAGTGACCATCAGCAGCGCACCTGTCACCCAGCAGTGTACCTGTCACCCAGCTGTGCCCAGCAGTGCACCTGCCACCCAGCAGAGCACCTTTCACCCAGCAGAGCACCTTTCACCCAGCAGAGCACCTGTCACCCAACAGAGCACCTTTCACCCAGCAGAGCAGCACCTGTCACCCAGCAGAGCACCTGTCACCCAGCAGCACACCTGTCGACCAGCAGTGTACCTGTCACCCAGCAGCGCACCCGTCACCCAGCAGCGCACCCGTCACCCAGCAGCGCACCTGTCGCCCAGCAGAGCACCTGTCACCCAGCAGCGCACCTGTCGACCAGACGTGTACCTGTCACCCAGCAGCGCACCTGTCGCCCAGCAGAGCACCTGTCACCCAGCAGCGCACCTGTCGCCCAGCAGTGTACCTGACACCCAGCAGTGCATCTGTTGCCCAGCAGAGCACCTATCACCCAGCAGAGCACCTGTCACCCAGCAGTGTACCTGTCACCCAGCAGAGCACCTGTCGCCCAGCAGAGCACCTGTCACCCAGCAGAGCACTTGTCACCCAGCAGTGTACCTGTCACCCAGCAGTGTACCTGTCGCCCAGCAGTGCACCTATCGCCCAGCAGAGCACCTGTCACCCAGCAGTGCACCTGTCACCTAGCAGTGCACCTGTCACCTAGCAGAGCACCTGTCACCCAGCAGAGCACCTGTCGCCCAGCAGTGCACCTGTCACCTAGCAGAGCACCTGTCGCCCAGCAGTGCACCTGTCACTCAGCAGTGCATCTGTCACCCAGCAGTGCCCATGAGCAGTGCACCTGTCGTCCATCAGTTCAGCAATCAGCAGAGTACCGTCACACAGCCACAATCAGAGTACCCGTCCTACAGTCAACATCAGCAGTCTGCCTGTCCCAGTGCCACCAGAGCCAGCCATGTCAAAACAAGTTTACACTAGTGAGGAGGCATTCAAAATCCTCAGTATGATGGATGGGAGCAGTGGGAAGCTCTCACTCTCCGATTCTGATTCAGTGTATGAGCTCATAGAAAGTAGTGGATCAGCGACTGAATCAAAGGAGGAAAGGGTCCCTCCTAAAAGGATACGGAGCTCTATACAGTGTTTGTTGATTTTTGTGTTACACTTGTTGCAATGCTGGGCACATAATCTGTACAGACATTGATAAGGTCTTGCACAGGGGAGGGGCCTGAATATGGCGCCATGAGCAGTGCCCCTGGGTGAGGCGGCGGGTCGGTGAGGAGCATCAGATCCCATGGAGCTGGAGGCACCGGCAACGGAGAAGGGGACGATGAGAGCGTCCCTGTGAGCACTCATGTGACTACCCATGTGACTACCCAGGTGACAGCCCATGTTATGGTTGGCAGCAATTTTGAAAGTGACAAGCTGTCCCACAGGAAAGTGGTGTGGCTTCATGGCTGAAGAAGAGGCATTGTATTAAAGGTGATTTACTCTGCACTGAGACAGCAGTCTTGGGAGACCCCCGAGACACCCCAAGTTGACCGATACACAGAGACCCCTCACTAATTAATTTACCTGACCTTACTTGGAATCGGGGTCGGAGGCAACGGCTGGGACCGAATACGCTCTGAGATGAAAAGATCCTAATCGGTCGGTATGAAAGGTGGTGGTGAGTTGCCTTGAGTAAAGGCGGGACATTTTTAATCTTGTGATACACCTGATGTTATTGCTGCAGTCTAAACGCACTCCTGAATATTGGGGGGGACGGAGGACTATATTTGCTGGGGTTCTCAGTGGTTTTCAGCGGTTGGTGAAACTGGTTAAGTCATCAGAGGAAAACGTCTTCTCTGGGGACGGATAATGCAGCAGTTGTGCATTATAAGCTGTGACGGAAGCGTAGGCAGGACAGAACACACAAAGAAGATGGGGAACACACAAAGCTTTATTGAACTATGAAAGACACTCAATCAGGATAGTTATTGGCACTCCACGACATGCGGCTTGTAGGGACACCCACGGTAAGCAGGCTCACGGGGACTCAATGGGACTTTGGCTGTGGAGTCTTGCCTCAACACAGCTCCCACACAGCGTACTAGGGACAACAGGCTCATGGGGACTCAACGGGACTTTGGCTGTGGAGTCTGGCCTCAACACAGCACCCACACAGCGTACTAGGGACAACAGGCTCACGGGGACTCAACGGGACTTTGGCTGTGGAGTCTGGCCTTAACACAGCTCCCACACAGCGTACTAGGGGCAACAGGCTCACGGGGACTCAACGGGACTTTGGCTGTGGAGTCTGGCCTTAACACAGCTCCCACACAGCGTACTAGGGGCAACAGGCTCACGGGGACTCAACGGGACTTTGGCTGTGGAGTCTGGCCTCAACACAGCACCCACACAGCGTACTAGGGGCAACAGGCTCACGGGGACTTAACGGGACTTTGGCTGTGGAGTCTGGCCTCAACACAGCTCCCACACAGCGTACTAGGGACATCGGGCTCACGGGGACTCAAAGGGACTTTGGCTGTGGAGTCTGGCCTCAACACAGCTCCCACACAGCGTACTAGGGACATCGGGCTCACGGGGACTCAGCAGGACCTTGACTAGGGGGGGCTGACCTCAGCACAGCTCCCACCCAGCTTTCTAGTGACATCAGGCTCACAGGGACTCAGCAGGTAGCGATGGCTCAAGCACTCAGGGCATCCCAGGTAGCTATACTCCGGGCACGCCATGGGACGGTTCGAGTAAGGGTAGTCTGGGCGTGCAATAGGGGCAGCTCAGGACACGGGTGGTCTGAGCGCACAATAGGGACAGTTCATGACACGGGAGGTCTGTGTGCACAATAGGGACAGTTCATGGCACGGGTGGTCTGTGCGCACAATAGGTACAGTTCATGACACGGGTGGTCTGTGCGCACAACAAGGACAGTTCAGGACATGGGTGGTCTGTGCGAAAACAGGGACAGTTCATGACATGGGTGGTCTGTGCGCACACTAGGGGCAGATCCAGGCTTCTAGGGGCACTCACGACAGGCATCTTGCAGATGCTCAGCAGCAGGCGGCTTCCAGGGGGGGGGGGGGGGGGTAGGTGACTTGCAGATGCTCAGCAGCAGGTGGCTTCCAGGGAGGTAGGTGACTTGCGAACGCTCAGCAGCGTCCAGGGACCCAGCAATCAGCAGACAGGGTGGCTTCCCAGGGACCCTCAGCAATGGACGGCGGCCCTCACAGCGGCCAGCGT